TTTGATCCCCCCAGCCACAATTTGAGTGGCAGGCAGTTCTCAAAGAACAAAGTCTGTCCACAGCCTGCCCCTCTCCCCAGGCTCCTCACACAATGCGGGCAGGAGGCAGGGCCTACAAGGCTGTCGGGGTGACCATGGCAGAGGCTGGGGTGGCAGCTATACTGCCCAGTCAGGGGAGCAGGGGTCGCACAGATCACCTGACCTCCAAGTGCCCCCCTGTTTTCAGTTATGCTCTGCTATCTGCCTTCCAACTGCTGCTTCTCATTCACAGTCATTTTTAAGGAAAACTGGCATTTGCTTGGATACATGTATAAAACACAAAGAGACAGTGTAATAGAGAGATGGCCACACGACTCTGGACTTAAAGCCAGGATGTGCCATTACGTTACAAGTTGGTCTGGAGCAAACTGAAATTCAGTTTTCTTAACTGAAACCTAAGGATATTATGTCACCTCAGGGACCTGTTCTAAGGACTGGAAATAATGTTTTGAAACACCAAAACTTACATCTGGAGCAAACTGAACCCTCAGACAGTAGCTGGGATTCACTTAAAGGTGCATGCTCATTAATCCATTTGCTCAGGAGGTCATCATTGAAAACACAGTACCTATAGACCTGACCCCAGGCTATAGAAAAGGGTGTGCCCCATTCCAGCCATTGGGACTCAGAATGGATTTGGAGGTCCTGCCAACTCACGTAAAAAGAAAAATAGACTTGAAATTACAGAGGTGAGAGCATCAGGCAGAGCTGGACATGCGGAGCGACCCTTCTAGAGGTAATCCAAAACATTGGAGACAACCATCATCCCTGGACACCTGTGGGTCAAGGCCAGACCTTCTCCAGGCTGACTCCCTTCTCCTGGCTAAAAGCAAATATGACTCAAAAGTACTTCAGTGTGGACAAAAAGACATTTACATCTAGAAATTTCAAGTAGAGTCATTCATCAGAAAGCCTCAGCAAAAAGAGCCATGTTGCAGCCTGCCTAGACTCTGAAACCCTCACTGCTTTTGATAACTGAATTGAGGAGCCCACCAGGGGAATTCATGTGAAGAAGCCAGGCCCAACTCTTTCAGTCATAGTGCATTTCTGAGCCAGATGCTCACACGTGGAGCAGGGAGAGAAAGTGGATTGCTCCCACTGATTTTGATTCTCGTACTGGCAACTCTGATGCACAGGGAACATGTGGACCAAAGAGCACAAGTTGGGAGCTACCTGGAGCTTGGGGGGGGAGGGGGTCTGCGTGTGAACCTGTCGGCCGCAGCATGTGCACCGAGCCCTCGGCTCAACCACATTTTGCTATGCTCGAAGTAGGCGCAGCTTTAACTTCAAAGCCACTCACAAACATCTCAGAGACACTGGAGTGAAGGCAAGAAGGTCTGGAAGGCTGGGAATGAGCAAATATCACCACCATTTTCAAAAGGAATGGGCTCTAAAATCTAGAGGATGGTAGCATCACTCCAATTTCCGGGCAAACCAAGAAGAGACATTAGGTAAGGCTCACAAGCCTTTGGGAGGAAAGTGGTGGTCTCGAAGAGGCCACACAAGATCTCTCAGAGAAAGTCATTCCATGCTAACCTCATTTCCTGTTTTGACGAGCTTCACCAGAACAGTCAATTAGGGGAATGCCCCAGAAAGTGTGTCTTGCTTTCAGTAAAGCATCTGAAAACCTCTCATCGTATCCTATGTACATTAAGATATAAAAGATGAGCCAGATGCTGGTGTGAGGAGGGGAATTCAGTTAGCAAGACAACCATCCCAGAGAGGCCAACTCACGGCCCTGCGTCTGTGCTCTTGCCTCCCCGCCACTTCAGCTGCAGGAGATGGCCAGGCGGACCAGGCCACCCAGGAGACCTCAGCTGGACAAACTATTCAGTATTTCCTCCCCAGTCCAAATGGTTTGAAATGATTTTCTGCAGCTCCACACACAGAGCAAGCTGAAGCTCCAAGCTGACCCTGTCAGTCTGTGGCTGGTTTTGCACCACTCATGTGCCCTGGAGGGAAGCAGGAATGTCTCCTGGCCCTGTGCTCTGTCCCTCTCACTGCATTTTAAAACAACTTGGAGAGAGACACTGAAGGGATATTTATTAACTCTGTAAGTCACACCAAACTGTAAGGAAAAATGGCCTCAAAGAATCAATGCTCAAGAGTTAAAGAGCTGGGATGAAACAAGACAGAACAGGTGTGAAGCCCTGTGTCTCTGAAGAATACAATTCCCTGGAGGGGTGCAAAGGGAGCCTGGGTGCATCTGAGTCTGGTGATGCTCCCATGTACCTGAACGTGGCCAGAGATGACAAAACAACACTTTGGAGCCTCTACCTTTACTTTTTAATTCTTTGCATGCCACTGAGCACCCAGGGTGTGAGACAGGCACTAAAAAAAATCCTGTCCCTATCATGTTATGGGCTTGTTGTGAGGACAAACTAAGTCAGAGGTGGTAAAGTGCTTTGAAAAAGGGAAAGCTCTGAAATTCAAAATAGTATTATTATTTGTTGTAAGGTGCTTTCCCTCCAAAAAAAGAAAAAAAAATCTGACAGTCTGCGAGTGATAAGAAGAAAATGATTCAGCTTTGGCTTCTCTTTCTCCAGCTGTAACCCCAAACTGGTGGGGTTTGCTGAACAGCCTCAGTGAGCCCATCACAAAAGCCCGAACATCTCCAAGACTCCGCACCTCTCCTCTGGCAATCCATTTTCCCAAAAATTCTTCCTAGAAGGCTTGTTTCCCACTGCCCTAAATTCTGGGATTACAATAATTTAAAAACTCATTCAGAAAGCTCCCTTTCCAGGGCTAGGTGTTCAGAGATGCAGTCCCAAGTCAGGAGAGCAGACCTGAGTCAAGTAAACAGACAGATAATTGCCTTTGATTTCCCCTGGGGTCACTGGAGTGTCACTGGGCAGTTCCAGGCATCAGAATTCTGCTAGACTGAGCTGTCTGGTAGAAATGTCTGTGATGACACACACATTCTGGGGTGTGCTGTCCAATATGGCAGCCACCAGTCACATGTGGATATTTACACTCCCATTAATTAAAATAAAAAGGAATTAAACATTCAATTCCTCAGTCACACCAGCCACTCTCTAAGTTTTCAATAAACACATGTGGCTAGTGGCACCCCTGTTGGACAGTATAGCCTTAGACCAACAGTTCTCAACCTTGGTTACATGAATTACCTGGAGAGTCTGATAAAATGCTGGCATCTGCCCCCATCCCAAATTCTGATGTGATTGGTCCTGGTGGAGCCTGGGTGTCTGCTTTCTTCAGGCTGCTGGGTATTTCTAATGTCTATCCTGGGTTCAGAACCATTCACTACTCCAGACACCGAGAACTGGGTGCTCGGTTCCCTTCTGTTCCTTCTCCAGTTATCTTTGCAAACTAGTTTTCCTGCAAACACCATAGGAGTTATTTCTGCTTCTCCCTGAGCCTGTCATTTCCAACTTCCAGGTCATAATATCTTTGTGCGGCAGTGTCTGGGAAATGGGCAGAGGATGCAGTTTAGCCTGCTCAAAAGCACAGGTAAGGGGTAACCTGGTGAGACACCTTCTTCCGACAGCATCCCCTTGTACCAGGGCAATGGTACGGGCAGATGGGCTGATTTGGGTCTGATGAGCACCCCGTGGGGCACATGCACACACCCACTGCAGGGCCTGGGCTCCTCCCACCAAGGGGTCTGTCTCCACTGCCCCGTGACACCTTTCTACCCTGCTGCCTCCCCTTCTAGAACTAGCAGAGAGGGAAATAGAATCTTCAGGCAGGGCGGGAAAATTGTTGAGCAGAGGCAGGTTGCTGGGACAGACTAGAGTCAGCTTCATAGAGCTGAAATTTGGAGGGCAGGTGAAAGGCTGTCAGCTAAATTACTAAGTGAACAGACAGGATTATTGCTGACATTGATAAGTTCTGGGATGAAAATGAAATTCAGTCAGAAAAAGTGTGGGTTATCTCAGGACAGTGGTCAGAGAGAGCCTCCCTGGGGCATCTGGGTGAGACCTGGGTGTGCCCTGCAGTGTGTGCTGTGCCGTGCGACTGGGGGTTTTGAGAGGATCGGTGAGGTCTGCTGACAAATTATTGTGAAGTAGGAAACAGTACAAGTGGTCCTTTCACAGTATTCTTGGATGTTGGCTAAGCCTGAAAGGGGGAAACGGACAGAAATGCTGGAAGGCAACTGCTCATGGCCTCTTTGGCCAGGTCCCTAGGAGGGTCAAGCTGTCCTACGAAGGGTTGGGGAAGAGAGTGGGGCTCCGCAGGAGGAATGCGCTGCATTTACCCATTTTAAGGAATACTTAGTTGCCAGCTCCAGGGACTCAGATTTGAAGGGTGCCTTAAAAAATCAGGGCTTCTAAATCAAATGACCATGCCATCCACCCATTATGAACTGCACAGCCCTCCCCTATTCATGGGCAAAGCCCCAGTGATGGCCCTAGTAGTAGACTGAAGGTGCTGAGAAGACCGGGGCAGAGTTGATCTCATCTGCTGCTTTGTTTCCAGAACCTGGCACACAGTACACCCCAAAGAAACCTTTCTGGAAAGAAGTGAGTGGGTGACTGATGAGTGTAGGGAGGGTTGCCGCTGAGAAGACAAGTCTCTGGTTGAAAACTCCAGGTTGTTGATGGTTTGTGGGGGGGGGTCACCATTTGCAGGACATCCTCAGAGTGGGTGTGGAAAGAGACTTCCAAATGTCTTCCAGTGTTTTTCTCAAATGTTGATGTGCCAATCCTGACTCTAGAAAGGTCTTCTAGAGTGGCAGGAGGAAAGGTAGGGCAAACCAGGCTGAGTAATGAGAGATTCAAGTTCCACACACTTCTAAAGGTGTCATAATGGCCTGTGTGGTTAAGGCAGGGTTTACTTGTGTTCCTATAGAAATTAATCTCAAACGCTATTTGGTATCCTTTAAATTAGGGTTTAAATATAGCTAATCAGCAAACAATTCGCTTTTCTTTAGTTTCGCTTTTAATGAAGGAAAAGGGATTGAGACCCACGGAGTCTAGCCAGACAAATAAGAAACTCACCAGACCAGACTGTGGCCGTGTCATCGCAGACACATCACCCGCGAACGTGGAGGCTCTAGGAGTGCACAGCTGTTAGCACCGCATCCCAGGGTGAACCCTTCACCTGCATTCTGGCTGTGGGCGGCAGGTGAGGCACCGGAGGGGGCTGAGTCCTGATTTTTCTGTGTCTGTGCCATTTTCGATCAAGTGTGTCACAGGGCTTCCTGTTTCATCTCCCAGTTATTCTGAAACAAAAACATGCGTGAAAAACACAGGTCACGCCAACCACATTGAGAGACAATCACTCCAGTACGTGGAAACCAAAAAGGGAAAGACAGATCATAAATGCCACAGTGAGCTGGGGAATCCAATTTATCAGCACCTATTCAAATAGTGATAATCAACAAAAATTGCAGTTGGTAATGTGGGTGCAGGGCGTCTGCTGAAAAACAATTCAGAGGAGAGTGAAAAAAACTCATGTTCCCACAAGCCCACTGCCTGTTTCCTGAGAAGCTAAAGCCAGTTCTGACCCTCTGGGCCAGCCAGGCTCTACTCCTGGGGCCCGCAGAGGCCCTGAGCACCTGTCCCCAAGGGTCCAAAGAGACATGAGACGGGTCATCGTGGAGCGGCAGCCTGACAAGGATGGACAAGGAGGATGACGGCTGGACCTCTGGTCTCCTCTCCTCTCCCCATCCATCCCAGGAGAGCTGGCCTCCCTGGTACTTCAAAGCCTCAGGAGCAGACCAGCTGGCACCCAGCAGCCTCGGCAACGGGGAGGGAAGGAGAGGCGGTAAGGGGGGCCCCTGACCAAAGGCCCTGAGGACAGCACGGGGCTGCTGGGAACAGCTCCAAGGACTATGATTCTAATCAAAGTTTCTCTGCCATCAAAACCAGTAAGTTTGGTTCCCAGACGCACGCACATAGTTTGTGGAAGCTCAATCAGTTCTCCCAAAGAAGTGAAGGGAAACTTCCAAAGACAGACAGGGGCAGGTCGATTCAGAAATCCAGAGGGCCATTACCTCCGCCCCAAAACTATAGCCCTACAAGCCAGCTTTGCTTAAAATCTGCTGTTCACACCCTAGAGGAGAGGAAGAAAGGACCAGAGACAGCACAGCCACGGGAGGAAGGTCAGATCCACACCTTCCCACTACTCCCAGCCTTTGTCTCTGAACAACACACTAATGGTCAGAGGACGGACAGGCAGTGGGCGACTGTGCAGAGCTTCTCTGGGTACTCTGCTGTCCCCTCTACATATAACATGGCCCAAGATGCCACCAACTGCCACTGTCCTCCATTTCCTGACTTTTGTTAACAGCACAAAATTCTCTATAAAAAAGGCAGTGGGTACACGATTTTGGAAAAGCTCCATCCTTGCCCTAGAGGCTCATTCACAGTGCACAGTAGCGCACAGAAGACCCCAACAAGGTTTGGAACTAAACAAAGCTGTTCAAATTAGTTTATTGTGTGCCTCCCAACCATATCTGGAGCAGAACCCTTTTTACACACTGGCCTTTGCCAGCCGGTAAGGTTGAGGTTGAGTGGTGAAGATCAAAATTTCCCTAACACTTACAGTCCTTGCTGTCCTGGAACTCCATGGCAATTGTGACAGTCTGTATTTATTTCTTGAAACTCTATATTATTTTCCCCCCATCCCTCTCCCCTAATGTCCTGAGCACATGAATCAGCTGATTCACACAAACTCCTGCAGTCTTTATTTTTCCTCTCCGAGGCCCCCTTTGCTAGGGGCTTTCTGAGAAGTGATGAGCCTGGCTTTGTGCTATCTAGCATTCTGGCAAGAACACCGCCCACATAGGTCTGTTGGGAAAACCAGCTTCCTGATTTGTGTCCCATGAGCTAGCATTTTCTAACGTGACTTCAAATCTGGAATCTGGGCCCAAGATTTCATACGCAGTGCCTTCCTGGGTGGGCCAAGAGAAACAGGAACTAAGAAAAGCATCAGGGGCCAACATGGGTAGAAGGGGAAACCTGGTCCCTTAAGTTTCACCATCAAAATAGACAGGCAGCTTAGAAACCTGTTCTCTCCAGTGACCCACTTCCAAGTGGGATGAAAAATCAACCAGGCAGGCTTCTGAATGGAACACCCGACCATGACTTTAACCAAACTCACAGAGCAGGAGGTAGGCAGGTCTTAAGGATCATCTGGTCAGTCTTCATTTTGCAGGCACACAGAGGGAGGAGGCCAGCAGTCTTCCTGAGGCCACATTGGAAGGGAAGCTGCTGGGACCAAGATCTGGGTCTCTCCTACCTAATCCCTAGATTCTGAATTCTACAGTAAGACCTGAGCTAGCAAGTCTGGGAACTTTTGCATAGATAAACCAAATCCCTAGTGACCCATGTTGGCCTGGCTGTCTAGTTATGATTGGAGAAACCCAAGATCGTCCACCCATTAACTTTAAAAGATCTGCCCTTATTGGATCGAATCACACATATGGCTTCCCATAGACCAGCACATGCTGGGAGTGGGTGGAGAACACACCTTTCCCATGTTGCCACAGTCCTAGAGTGGCTTCTGGCCACACGTTCCTCCCTCACTCTTACTCCCAGCTTGTCTAAGCTATGCTGTTCCTGCTGGTCTCCAGTATTCGAGGGATCCCAGTTAGCTCTCCCCACTGTGAGCACACAACTTTGCTTTCCCTCAGATCTGAAGGATGGCCTCCGGGTCACACACATCACACTGTGAATATGAGCAGGACTTGAAACGTAGCCCAGGCAATCTCCTGTGTGCTTCCCAGGCTAGATCCCAAATCAGATCCTTTCTGTTCCTCACGGCAGAGGAAGTCTCCTAGCATGGGAAACTGAGAGCGGGGAGAACCAGCAGCTCAGACATCCACCCCTAGGCTGGCTCTGGTCACTGGTCTGGGTAATTTACCCCTCATTTCCATCCAATCCTCTGCTTCCAGGGTAGTTGGGTACCAGGGCACTCGGTGAAGCAAAGACTGTAAAGTTCTGTTTGCTGTCACCATGGCACTGGTGACTCCTCACTGCTGGAAGGCCAGAGCCCCCAGGTGCCCCCATGCAAAACACACGCTTGAGCCAGTTCTGCGCTGAGGTCTTCATCAGGCTGGGGAAAATGGGGAGCCAGGCACTGACATCAGACCTGACAGCTCTGAAAGCCCACTTTTTGAGATTTTGGAACAGTGCCCAGGAGGATAGGGTGTGCTCTCAACACCAGGATGTTCAGCTCTCGGGAGTCCACCGTCATCATTTCTCAGAAAGTTAAACCTAGAAGGCACACTCAGAAAATGCGCATGGCTGATCACAGCTAACTTCAGGGATAAGTGATAAGGGTCCTTTGTGTAAATTATTAAGCGTTTGTGCTGCTGGAGATGTCAGGGCAGGGGAGAGAGGAACTTACACTTGAGGGCCCCCCCTTACCTTGTTTCTGAAGGGGCGCATGCATTTCTAGAGTTCAAGCCACATAACCCTGAGCAGATACAGAACCTTTCTCTGAGGGGACCTCCCCTGAGAAGCAGTTTTTGAGAAGTGTGCCACGCATCAATACAGACCTACGTGTGGTTCAGAAGGACTCTGTGTCCTTCAACCCCTGTCAGCAGAGTGTGAGGGCTGCCCCAGAACACACCCCGTCCTCCTGGCCACTGCTTACCCGGCGCGTCCCACATGCCAGTTGCCACTCTGCATGCTCTTGCACAGCCCGGGATCCTACTGCCCTCTCAGGTGGGTGCTGTTAGGATCCTCTCTTACCCAGGAGGCAACAGGGAGCTCAGCAACCAGCTGATAAGGGGGGCTCCCAGCTTCCATTCTGGCCCCTTGGTTGTGACGCTCTGCCACCTTCTGGGATGAACAGGAGCTCACAGGTGACTCAAATGCCCTGACATCCTGAGGGTCTTGGAGGTTTGCCCACCTTTTGGTACAGAAAGGTACCTGTTAAATATCTCCTTTCATTTGTATCGAAGGTGGAAATAGAGACAAGGGTAGCCCAGGGGCTGGCCGTTCCTGGATGATTTCCTGGCCCAGTCACGCCATGCCCTCACCTTGGCCCCTTTCTCTACCTGTGAGATAAAACCCACTTTTCAAAGAACTAAACCTCAGAAACATTTCAGCAGATCTGTAGTCCAGATGACTTTGTGAAAAGCGAAAATTATAGGTAACTTTGCTCTACACTTACTAGAAATGCAGAGGGCCCTCTGAAAGGCTGGTTTCACCTCTAAGGTTGTGCTGGAACACATGGAGGGTTCCTCAGCACTGGAGGAGCAACAGAGACACACAGTGGGATCTGTGACACATGGTCTTTTTGGTGTTCCAACCACCCGTGGCCCGTGGCCCTGACCCGTGGTCCTCAATACGGGCCTCTGGACCAGAGCACCACATCACCTGAGAATTTGTTAGGCATGCAAATCCTCAGGCCCCACCCCACACCTTCTAAACGGGAAACTATGGGGGTGGGGCCCAGGGACGGCTGTTTCCATGAGTGATTCAGAAGCAGGCCGTGGTGAGTGGGGCTCACGGTCCTGGTGACACTCTTGGAATGGGGCCACGGGCTCCATCCCTCATGACCACTGGGGCTGGAGGCTGGCCATCTACTGAAGTTCTCAGTTTACTGAACTGGACTCAAGCTCCTCAGCAGGTGGCTCTCTCCTGAGATCCCCATGGTGGGAGGGAAGAGTGAGCAGTTCAGAAGCCACCCGAGACATTCAACAAGACCTTTGGGACACAGGGGAGAAAAGTTGGTTCTCCTTTCCTGGTGCTTCCCATCTGCACAGAAAAGGGCTCAGTTCCTGTAGGATTCCAAGTGGCACCAGTGAGTTTTCCCTAGTCATCACATTTGCCCCATAGCCATATTTACACCCTCCACTGTGGCTTCCTCTTCCCTGCACTCCCTATGCTTTGCCTGGGGAGGATAAATGAGCCGTGCTGTCATTTTTCTCAAACAGGAGAATACAGAAAGTTTGCACCAGCTTGACCCTCCATCCTGCCCGCCGGGAAAGAGAGGTGGGAACAAAGCCTGCTCTGCTCACATCGACGTCAGGTAATGCCCAGGTGGGGGGCACCGGGAAAACCGGACAGGTGAGAGGCAGCAGACGCCCAAGTCAAAAAAGTTAAAAAAATAGTTTGTTTATCACTGTAAAAAAAAAAACTAACCTCACACAGGAAGTATGAGGAGAAAAAGAAGAAGAACACAGACCCAGGCCGTGGCGCTGAAGGTGGCGGAGATGGGAGTGCACACCCAGACAAAATGGGCATCCTCGGCCTCCCTTCTCCCCTTCGTAGGGGTAGTGGGGACAGAAGGGGTAGGGCCCTGGGTCAGGGTGGGGTCTTACAAACGGTGGGGAGAGAGCAAAGAAGGGGGCTGTGAGTCACGAGGCACAGCCTTGCCAGACACAGGGCAGGACATGTGGTGGGACCACATCCCACCCAGGACCCTCCCTGCAGGTATGGCCGTCCCAGCCAGACGTGGAGGAAAAGCCACCTGGAATGGAAACTGGCATCCGAGATCGTCCCACACACCCGCCTCCACTCAGGGGAGGACACAGGAGCCAGCAGATCCTGATCATCTGCCCCCACGCCCATTTCAGAAGTGCAGCCCTAGCAGGCGTCACTGTGGGAGACACCACCCTCCCAGGCCTTCCACCCAAGCTGGGGCTGTACAGACCTTCAGGAAAGGAAGCCCACACTGGGCCCTCCAGCTCTGGTTTGGTGGGACCTGCTGTGAAGTCCCCCAGGGCAGACAGGAGTCAAGTCAGGTGTCTGACACAGGGCCCCCTGCCTTCTCTGAAATGTAGCTCAGCTGGATTTCTAAAAATGGGGACACAGGACCAGCAATGTCCTCCCAAGAATTAGAATGAGGCAAAAGAGTGAGACTAAGAAACATTTCCTTTTTCATAGCATCAAACAGTAGGAGAATAGGAAATAGAAATCCTGCCTCCCCATAATAAAGAAACACAAACACTATAAAACGTGCACACCTTGAAAAGATATGAACAAAAGGATTTCAAGTCGTTACTATCGCTGTCAAAGAAAGCCATTGGTCTTAAAAAAAAAAGAAAAAGAAGGAAAAGAAAGACAGAAAGAAAGAAAAAGAAAAAACTCTGCACACCAAAAATCTCAAAATAGAACCAAAACCTGCAAATCATACTCAGGAGTCTTTTGTGAACCCATGTTTTAGCATGCTGTTGCAAAGGTTAATAATTTTCCTACCGAAACTGAATGTGGGTTGTGAAAGAACATTAAAATGAAGAAAATTTCCCCGTGGCTGCTATTTTATTATCACCAAAGCCATCAAGTTTCAGTTTGAGTTATTTGTATTTATTTGTGAAAACAAAGATTAGGTAAGTAGAAACATAAACCTCATCCTAATTATTGCCCTGGAGTATCTGATTTTTAAGACAAAAAAAAAAAATTAGACCATCACACACACGCATTCAAGGCATTGAAAAGTCAAAACAGCAGAGAGGAGAGAGCTGTTTATCTCCTTTTATTGCTTGAAAAAAATGTATTGTCTCATGTAAAACATTAATATTTGTTTACACCTTGTGAAGATAATGTGAGAGTCCATCTGTACTTTTAGTTGCTGAAATTTTTGTCAACTGTATGCTCAGGTAGAGACCTTTTACACTGCAAACTATGATTTTTGTTTTATACTTGGAAAAAATGTAGTAACAGCCATATAATTCAATGTTGAAGGCTTGGGAAAAAACGGCATTTAAGTGCTGCTTTAAAAGATCAAATTAAGAGCTCTGAGACATTTACAACCAGGTGGAGCCTAGATGAAATGTGGGGTTTAGGTGCAAAGCTGAATTTGAACTCAGATGTGTCTCAGATGCCAGGTGAACAGCTTGTTTCCTGAAGTTTTACAAGAAATTCACTAGATGAAGTGGTTAATCAAAATCTAAGGGTGAGCAAATAACTCTTCATTTCCAGCACAACATAAACATCAAACCGAAAAAAAAAACCATGCAAAAAGACTCAGTGGTCTCACATCACCGAACAAACTGTTTTTCTACCTATTTTGTGTTGCTGGCTTTTGTTATCAGCCCAATCGGCAAATTGTGGCCAATTTTGTCATGGTTTAAGCAGACATTTTGTTCCCAAACTGCTTTCAACATTTTAGCTACCAAATACAGTTTATGAGAAATTGAACAAGCCACAATGCAAACTGAAAAGGTACCTAATTCTTTTTTAAATTAACCCCTTTTAAGTAGGTTAAAATAACATACACACATAAAAGATTTTTCACAGAAGAATTCTAGTAAATTCAAATTCTGGAACAACCTCATCAGACTTTCTTGGAAAAGAGAATAATTAATGATTAACCCACTGATAGGATTTTGAAACCAACTACATGACATTCCCCAATTCTGAACCACCACGACACCATAAAACCTTGCTCTTAATAACACCACGTCATTTGTATTTTACCTTACACACATCAAATATTGTTTGAACATGCAGAGCAAATTCTAAAGGAGTCGATTGAATTAGGCTAAGGTGAAATAATCAGTTAAACAGTTATTTACTACTGAAAATAAATGACACCCACGTACTTCATCTTATATATTAATATTGAAACCGAATGGCAAGTCTTACCCGCAAATCATTTGATAAAAAAAAAAATAATGAAACTAGTTAAAATGAAACACAAGATTTTATTTTATGAAACATTAAATATTAAGATCAAAATGATAGAAAGCTGACATGGCTTTTTAAATTTTGTTTCTGCTAAATTACAACAACAAATTGAAAATGGGAAAAGGTTGAGAGAACTTTTGCTGAAAATCCAAGTAATACTATTTGGAAGAAAAGCAGTATTTCAGACAGAAGACTGAAGAAAAACTCTCCTCTTTTGCAATCCTATTTCATATTTGAAGGCACAGAAATATGTACAACATTTTTAGCCTTTTAAAATACCAGCATGCCCACACATTATCTCAGATTAAACCAAGGAGAAAATGACACATTCTGAAACCATTTTCTAAAGCTTCTTTTCCTGATAACACTCAGGCACTTAAAATCAAATTAATGAGTTTCTAAAAAGCCCAAACAACTCTCCATAAAGAGACAGAATTGTTCACAACCCCCTGCAGACATTTCTAGATTTTTCAGGCAATACCTAGAACATTAGTCCTTGCTATTTACATTTAGAAAAGCTAAACTTTTTAACATCTATCTTAGGAAGAAATACTCTTCAGTGTTTTGGCTAATTAAACTAAGGAAGAATTTGATAAACACCAGAGGACTCAGCCCAGTATTCCCCTGATTTCAAACAATTCAAAAATTAGTTTATTCTTCCCCCCACACAATCTTTGCACAAATATGTATTCTCATGACCTATTCATACTTGAAAATTCTTAAAGAAGTAAGAAAGGAAACACCCACAGAGAAGAAGTTCTCATTTCTTCTGAAAGTGGATTTTCTTCATAAATTGTTTATCAGCAAATAAACAATGAAAAGAACAAACAACCACAAAACTCAGGAACAACACTGAAAATAGAAATGGATGGACAGAACACTTAGCATGAGAAATTTTAAATCCCTGAGAAGGCTCAGAGAGACACACTTGTGTTCAGTCTAGAATATTCTCAGTGAGAGGGAGAGGCATTGCTTTTGGTAAACTGATGGCAATATCAATCTAGTGACATCTTCTCTTCCAGACAATGTGTTAGTTTGTTTGACACCAGACCTAAAATGTGATTCAGAATTTACACGTCAGGTTTTTCTGTTCCCATTTGACCTTGTGGGACTATTGTAGTAACTCCAAAGCAAGTAGTCTGACTTAGCCAGACAGCAGTATTTAAGATCAAACAAACAAAACCTTGAGTGAACAGTACAATTAAACATGAAGGAACTAAGAAGGCTATAGTAATCGGCTGAATCTGTTCCTTCAAGACATTTTCTATCTGAGTATTTTGCCCCAGAATATCTGCCCTTACTCTCACACTGCATAATCGAATGCTCACCTTCAGAAAAAGCCTGACTTTAACTAATACTTGCCACTCTGCTAAACCACGCATATCCCTCCCCCAACGTAGGACTTGGGAAATGATGATGACTTGAGTCATCTGGAAAGAGGGAACATGACATGGTCTTGGAGGACTTTCTTCATAACTGCTGTCATTTTAACTCTGCTTTACCACAACTAAAAAGGCCGAGCTCACGGAACACACTCAAGTTCACTCTCAACTGTATCTGTGACCTGGGAATTTCTTAAGAGCAGAGTGGTACAGTACAAGAGCTTTCATTGAAAAAATACTCAAAGCACCAAAAAAAATTCCCATCTTTTTTGCAAATACATATATCAAAATGTGAACTCTTCCACATTAAAAATCAAGACTCTCAGCACAATTACCTCACAGCAACTAGCTAATTTGTTCTTCCTTTTTCTCACAACATGTATTTGTTAACACCAAGATTTTAAAATACCATTGTTAGACTGAGAGACACTCCTAGTGTAAGTAAAATAGATTTTTCCTCCCATTTGCTACATACACCTTTTTTACTTGAAGCCCATTTATCATGTATGAAATGATGACAAGAATTTTGCTAGAGCAATCTGCCTTTATGGGTTAGGGCAGGTCCAACTGTAAAATGAGAAGACCAAGTATTTTGTTGTTATTGTTGTTGTAAAGCAAGTAACAATTTTCCAGAATCTAGAAATAACTGCAACTGGAAAAAGCAAAAATAAACCAGACAGACAAGGGTGAGAGGAACCCAGAAACTCAGAATTCTTGACCTGGAAACAAGGATCTCTCAAATGTCATTTTCTGTTCTCCACAAAGCAAAAACAAATAAGCTTTAGTTTCTTTCTAGTCACAAAATGAAATACGTAACAAGCATAAGAAATGTGTGGTATATTAAATACTAGTATATCTCAGTGATACAGAAACATGAATGACATTTCTTGTTAGTGTGAATCAAGTCCCCGGTGTGGGTGGTCTGGTGAATGGACAAAGACAGATCAGACAATGGTCTAGCCCATCAAAAATAGATGATTTTGGTTATAAACTCCAGTTAGAGCTAAATAATTCCCCCCTAACAGGGCCTGTTAGCACACTTAAAAAAGCATTGTGAATACCCCTGGACTATGAAGAGTGTAGTACATTTCTGAGTCTAAAACCTTTTCATTGATGTTGGGTTGAAAGCTGTTTAATTAGCTGTAGGATGCCAACCAATCTTTTTATCAAAGCCAGCTGAAAACAAAACTGAGAGAAACAGCTTGTGGTTTCACAAAAATGTATTTACATGAAGCATATTTTAAAGGGAGTTCGATCATTAGGTACGATGTCATCCTTGATGTGCGGTGGATTTGACATTTAAAGATGTCAGGGGTTGTCAGATTTATCTCCGGTCTATACTTAGTTTGACGTGTAACCACTTCTGTGAGCAGATCCTGTTTTGTTGATTTCCAGCCTAGAAATCTGTAAAGATTTAACTCTTATTTACTGGACTCAAATCCTCTCCATATCCTCTCACTTCCTTACCTAAGATCTACTAAAAAGAAAGTGGAGCCGTGGGTGACAAGTGGAATATATGCCCACTTTCACACCTCGTCACCAGAATGGTGACAGAGGTGAGCCAAGCACCATGAACAGAGCGCTGAGGGTGAGTTATCGATAAGCGTGGTGTTTCCTGAAATGGAGAGGGGTCCGAACCCTTTAGCCAAACCACTTGACTACAATTTGTCTCGGAAAGAACACTGATAAGACAGACTTTCCATTGCTTAACACTTAAAACCGTCGATGACAAGGAAAACCCAGAGTGACACCAAATGCACCACGATTAAAACTGTCTCAATAGAAGTCCTATTAGAGGAGCAGTAAAAGGTCCCAGTCAACATCTGCCTCGGGTATCTTCGACCAGGACCATGGTTTGTCAGTCTGGTGAGTTTGTGTAGCAACCAGGATCTCATGCTTTATGTTTTATTGAGAGATGGGTAAGTGAATCAGTACCATTTAACTATTCCAGAACTGATATTTAGTGAATGTATGAGTCACTCATTCACACTTTTCCAAATGTCATTTTCCATCTTGCCTAATTTGGGAATAGAAATTAGGCTCTAAACTCAATTTAAGCTTAAGACAATCTGTAGC